TTCGCTTCTTGACCCACTTACCACAGTAAAGGTGACCGCACCACCCACAGTGAGTCTGAGTAATCTAGGAGTCGCACCAGCCCACAAACTTCTTATGCCCCGTTCTCGCACAAGATATCCCGTCAAACCCCACATGCCTCTCGGCACGCTCTTCGGAGTGCTCGGTGGCAGGCTCTGCTGCAAGCTTTTGAGTACGCTGCAAGAGAAGAGTTACGTTGGCCTCGTGAGCAGGAAAGATTGGCGGGTCTGCATTAATTCGTACTCACTCTAGCGGCTGCGTGGCATCTTTTTGACGAGGGAGCGGTGTGCCGTGTAAGTTACGCACCAATTCCGACAAGAGCAGCGCCCTTGCTACTCACACACAGTGACAAAGCCAGCAATAGCGCCCAGGGTGAATGTAACTCCTCCAGGCAATGCCTGTCCCGGTCTAGCGCTACCTTGCAGCGCATTCTTGAGCGAGCTATAAGTGGAGAATCTGATAGCTCCATGCATCCCCTGCCTTAGAAGAGTAGCAGTCACGCCCGAGTAGACGTGTCTCAGACCCGTCGAGGTGAGCGATCTGTAAGAGATGGTAGGATCGGATATCTTGCGCGTTTTTAATGTTTCGCTCGGGATCACTACCAACAGCGCTTCGATTAGACCGGCTCCCATTCCAGCTTTTGAAAAGTGCAGCATTGACAGTATTCGACGGAGAGGTCAGCGTCAGATGTATTTTGTACGAATTTGCTGCAAGGCGTGCGCTCATACTGACCAGCCAAAGACCGTCCTCCAGTCAAGTAGCCTTCGTCGTTCTTGAAGGCTTCTCCAAGCCTATCGTATGCCCCAAACCTTACGCAAGTCTGTGGCGATGAAAAGCAGTGAGCGGTCAGCGTCGCGCTGGCAGGACTCATGACGTCGTACACACCTTGAGCGCGCCACCCGCAACGACGGGGGCTGCACCCGCATACAGTCTCCTCCAATCACCCCTCAAGTACCCGCTGAGCACCTTCCAAGGGCCCCTCTTCCCAACGAGCGCATCTCTAGGCGAAGTATCTACGCTCTTTGCGAGCGTCAGTGGCATGCCTCCACCGACGAGGTTGATTGGAGAGTGCTGGATCTGAACAATTGTCTTTGTGTATTCTAGTGGGTAGCAGATGAGAGCTTCGATGGATGAGGCTAGCGATCCGCTCAGCATTCCTAGTAGCAAGGGGTCGCGACGAAGAGATGGAGGAGTCGAGATCTGAGAGGAGGAGCGTGATCGACCAGCCGAGAAAGTGGAGCTGCTGGAGCTCGACATGATCGCTTGCTTTGATTGCGGCTTGTATGTCGACCAAGCGGGATGGGAGCGCGGAAGTCGATGTTCAGGATGGCAGAGCTCTGATTCGTGATTGTGATTCGAGGTTGAAGCTGAATGAAAGGATTGGTGCGCACGTGCTGGTCAGTAGTGGGTGAGGGTAAAGCTGACCAAGGTGCACCACAAGGCGAGCAGAGCTGGCCAAATCGTGAATGCTGCTGCCAAAAGTAATCCTCGCGCCTGGATGCACCATGCATGCACCCATCCCACCGCACGCAAGCAGCCGGGTCGGTATGTGGAGCTCGCGGCTTCATCGACGCAAGACGATGGACGTTCATCGCGCGTGAGCCATTTGGACTTGACTGCGCGAGCTTCAATCACGTGAAACGCCCCCACCTCGCGCTCGCGGAGGGCTCACCCTTCTAGTCGACCACCATCACCTCACCACCACCCGCAGCATACTCTTGACTCTTGATTCTAGTACAGGCATAGTTAGATCCCAAGCAAGGCTCACTACGCCTCTTTGTAAAGTCTCAACATGGTCAAATACCTCGTCGGGCGGTGAGTCATTCTCGAGTCCAGGATAGCTCGAGCAAGTCCCACCACAAGGTCTCGCTCGCCGCAACTCGCTCCCTTCTCCTCACTTACCTGTATCAAGGGGACTCCCACTCAACTCCCCTTCTCCCTCCCCTTCTTTCTCCCCTCAACTGTCTCTCACTCCATCGACGATGCCAAATTCCGACTCGCTTCGATCTGCGTCAATGCGAAAACCCATAGCGTATCCGACCCGCTCGTGGGAGTCTTTACAGGTCTCTTTGCCTACTACATCTACGAGACCGACCCACGCAACGCGGCTCAAAGGCCAGAGGGAAGGAGGCTATGGGATCTGCTCTCGAGATGGAGCCGAGATGAAAAGCCGGACAAGAGCCTTTATGAAGAGGTCAAGCATGTACACAAAGTCTAGCTAAGCGGATCTGAGGGAAGGGGGTTTGGCTGATGCGATAGGATGAAAGGGTGGAACAGCTTGATGTGCTTCATGACGCCGTGCACACAAGGGGGGCGGTGCGTGGGCGAACGACGGGTGGTGCCCATTCTTGCCGCAACACCAAGCCATCAGACGAGCCCTGCCAGCATTCCCTTGTCATCGATCATGCCGGTGGAATGTGCGCACAGCATGAGCTGCGCTAGCTTTCAACGCTTCTACACACACCCACCCATAGCTTTGCCTAGCCAGCACGTGGTTGATCGACATGGTCACGATATTCAGTGGGCAGGCTAACGTCACGACAGCGGATGCATAACGAATGACATGGATCATCCGAGAAGCGGCACATGGCCAGGGTGTGCAGCAGGCCTGATGCGAGTCGAACCACCTTCACTCGACCCTTGGCGCATGTCCTCATCAGGCGTCCTTTCCATAGCAGCGGTGTGCTCCTCCTTGTGTGCTTCTTCATTTCCATCCAGCTTCACCCTGAACCTCTTGCAAACATCCGGAGTAAATACCAACCATTCCTCCCAAAGCATCAGTACACTTCTCACTTGCTCCTTGAACCCTTCTTGTCGAATTCTTCCTCCTAACACCCTAGCTGTCTGGCCCAAGTGCACAAAGGCAGCATCCAAACGCGCTTCTAGCGCTGCTCGATACTTCCACGCATTGGGCAGTGGGACCGCGCTGTTGTGCAGAATGTCCGAGATGGCATGCAAGCGGGCAAGCTTCCTGGCCAACGGGGTGCCCGGCTGCAGAAGCGAAGCGACGAGGACCTCTGAAATCTATGTACGGCAATTTTCAGCGCGTCAATGCGAATTGAGTCCGTCTGCCAAAGCGTGCGTGAGGAGCGCGTCTCGTTTCACCCACCTGATCTGCTGCAGCGCCTCGTTCCAAAGCAAAGCACATGACTCGAGCGATACGCTCTCGTCGAGAAGTAATGCTTCGCAGCATCGCTTCGAGTCTCCTTCTAGCGATCGGACCAAGAGTGTCGGTCTTTTGCAACTTGCGCTGTCGCTCCACTTCGGAGCCCTCTTCAGAATCGGAAGAGTAGAGTGATAGGTAGCCCTGGAAATTTGAGAAGGTGAGACGCACCGTCAGCACTAAATTGTCATGTGCAATTTTAATTGCAGACTTCGGTGAACGCACGTCATCAGCGAATGGTGGGGCGTCGATGATGGGCAAGTGATCCGGATCCACCAGGGTCCTGTAATAGTGGTAGGCGGGCAGCTGGCATCGTGGACGACGTGCTACATGTCAAGAACCATACACCGTCGCAGACATCTGACAAATCCTTCACACTCACGTTCTCATCCCACATAAACGCAAACTTGTCCTTGACGTCTGTGGTGCCATTATCCCTCATAGCCTTTAGATAATACCCGTCGCCATGATTGACCACTCTCTTTGCAACATCCCGAATCAACTCCATTCCCGACGCTCCGACGGCCTCTTCCACTTGCTTGATAAGATCTGGCATTGACCCAGAGGCGGTGGGGCGGGGCTTGCGGTGCGGCACAGGTCCGCTGCCTGGTGATCTTTGTCGCGCCCGCACAGTCGTGCTAGTTGGCGAAGCGCCGCGCGCAGTCGACGTCGCTATCTTGGCAGAAGACGGTTGCACTGCAGAGGCGCGTTGATCCAAAAACACGACAAAGTGTGTCAGCGTCGACTGCGTCAGGTTGGGCTGCAAGGTGACATTGCGCTGCCAGACTCACAGAAAGATGCAGTCGGCGGCAACGGCATAGCTTTTCCCCAACCAGTTCTTAAAATTGGACCGCCTGAAAACGAGCCTGCTCCAGTCCATAGTATTCCATCCGCTTCTCTCAGAGCATACTCGGCGTCGGATCTCTTCATGTAGGACACAAAGCCAACCAAGCCTTGCCTGTTCGCTTCTCTCTCGCGAGGGTACATGATCTAAAGTGTGAGTTGGACCAGGCCCTGGGTCAGGTGGTCGATCAGTGCAGCTTGAATCGAACAATTTACTTGCCTTTGCCGTCCCAACGTCGCCCCAACGACTGAAGAATCGACCAAGAGCAGCCTCGGGCACTTCTGCCGGGAGGTTTGTGACGCAGACGTTGGTTGTAGTCATATCGCTCGTGTCGGGTCTGCTGCCTCCTTTCGGCGCTGACTCGGCGGCCAACAAAGAAGAAACGGATGTACCCTCCGCTAGAGTGCGGCCGACATTCGCACAAGTTGTTCAATTGATCGATCAAGATGGAGGCGTCGGCAAGGGCATT